GTATTTAATATTAATATATTATTCAAATATCATTTTAATAAAAATATTAATTATTAACATATATTTATTAATAATTTTAATAATATAATATTATTTTTAATATTATAATAATATAATTTAATATTATTATTATTTTAATAATTTAATACTCTTACTTTTATAAATAATTAATTTAATTTATAATATTTTTATTTAAATAAAATATGATATTCTTAATGCCAATGAGTGTTGGTACAAGTGATTGAGATTCAAGAATTTTAGCTTGTAAGGTTAGTTCGAGTCCTACCACTGTTACTCTTATTGAGCGATCTGTAAATTTTTATGTAAATTTCAATTGGGTTTTAGGTATGCCTTAGCCTTTGACTGGGGAGCCACCATTGACCTAAACTTTTTTATACAAAAAATATAATATTCTTAATATTATTATATATATATATATATAAACAATGTTTTAATAACAATATTAATTTTTATAATAAATAATATTATTTATTGTATTCAATATTTAAAATAAATAATTTTTCAAAAAAAATTATGTATTAGTGAAAAATGATTTACAAAATTTCATCCAAACAACATAAAATGATTTCCAAATATGGATGGGCACAGGTCAGGTTTGAGTAGGGTTTCAGTCAACCTGCTCCGACCCAGAATTTTACATCCTCCACCAGACTTGACTCCGACCTGACTTTTTGAGATAAAATTTGAACTAGACCCGACTCAACCCGAAATACTATATTTATTAAAAAATTATTTTTATTCAATAAAAATAGGGATTTAATTGGGAAAAATAATATATAGAGGGGTATTATTGTATTCAACCCTAAATATATAAGATAATTTGGGTCAGGTCGGATATTTTTCTCCCTAAACCTGAACCCGACCAGACTTGAACCAGATTTAAAAAACTCCAATCCGATCGGGTCGAGTCAGGTCAGAACCCGTCGGATTCTGGTCTCATGCATATCCCTAATTTCAAATAATTTTTTTCAAAAAATATAATTCGTTGTACATAAATCATTTTCCAAAATATGTTTTTTTTTGAAACAAACAAACCCTTAGTTATAAAAAGATAACATGATCACTTGAGACATAGAAAGTTTTGAAATAATATTTTTGGTGAAATAAATAATAATATATTACATGATAATTAATAAAATTGGTTTTAATTTATGGGTGTTTTTACCCAAAAACAATAAAGAATCAATAATTACATGTCAGACATTCATTGACCAAATTTTATCAATCTAACACCCATTTGCTGACATGGACTGAAGGCGCGGATCACCAAACTCGCCTTCCCTGAGTTTTCGTCCGATGTGGCACCACGCGAGCAAAGCTCATATCATCATCCGCGCCTTCCATTATTCACCTTGAATTATTAGGTCTCTATTATTATCCGAGCCTTAAAGTTTGACAACTCACCCATCCCACTCCCCTATAAATACCTCCGAATGCAAACATTAAATCATGCCAAAATTACTTTCACATTCTTTCTTCTATCAATTCATTCTATCAAGTTAAGTAGATTTTGTTATAGTTCTTAGAATGTAAAATTATTTTTTATTATATTATATTTATTTTATATTTAATTATTTGACCAAATTTTTTATACTAACTATTTCGTATTATTTTTTGCGGTTGTACAATGGAAGGCGGGATCAAATTTCGAGACATTTTACCGATACAATAACAATATTAAATTGTGTTATTTAGTTTATTGTGTGTGTGTGTTTTTTAAAATTTTGTAGCATTAGTTTATATTTTTATTCATATACTATTTATTTAATTAGGCGTATTTCAACTATTGTTTTTGTAGATACAAGACTCTCAATCTTTTAAACTTTCAAACTCTTAAAATGAGACATATTTCAGCTATTGTTTACTATGATAGAGAAATTCAGGAAGATGAAACCGACTTTGTCTTCGAGCTGAGGCAACCACATACAATGAACTTGGTTTCAAGATTTATCGGACATCAAAATCTCTCCTATGAGTCGTAATATGCAAGCTCAGTCAAGTATTTTAGCCTGTTCCTTGGAACAGTCGTTGCTCAACTGTTAAAAATTTGTAGCCAACCATGATAATAGTATTCAACCACCGTTGATATTAGGCGGGATACCTCCGAGATACTTCTCGCACAAGGAATGCCAATCACCATCTGCCACACCATAAATGACATCACATCTACCGAAAGCCTCAAATGTAAGGAATTATCCTCCAACGTAATAGTGCACTCCTCACTCGGTATATGAAATGTATGTCTCTGGTCTCCACCTCTCAACCAATGCAGAAATAAGGTTAAATTCAAGGTTACAATGTCCTTCATATCTAGCTATGTAACTGAATCCAACATCGACTAAATATAGTCAGACACATTCGATATGTTTAACTTAGCATTACAAATAAATGGGTATAATATACGATTATTCCCCTAATTAAATAAATAGTATACAAGTTAAAATATAAACTAGTACTAAAAAAATAAATAAAACATTCACAATAATTAACATAACACAATTTAAAATTGTTACCGTATAGGCAAAATGACTCGAGATATGATTCCTATCTAAACGCAATAACCCACCTTCCATTTTATAACTGCAAAATATAAAAAAAAAAAAATTAGCACTGTAAAATATAATAAAATAATAAACTATTTAATGATTATAATATAAAAAAAATAATATTACATTCTAAAAACAATAACATAATCCACTTGAAGTTTGTTAGAAGGAACGATAAAAATATGAAGGAGTGTTTTTTGTGTGTGCTTTGAGAGTTGTATGAGTTGGTATTTATAGGGGAGGAATACGTCGTAATTAAGGGGGAGCGACGAACGGTTGGGGGTATTTATGGAAGGTGTGAATGGTGATATGCACCTTCCGTCGCGTGTGAACTTTACCGCGAAGGCATGGATGGTGATCCGCGCTTTGCCCGCGTGGCGCCAACTCGAACGAAAACTTAGAGAAGACGCAATTGGTGATCCGCGCCTTCTGTCCATATCAAAAATCGGTAAAATTTGGTCAATGGGTGTCTAACAGGTAATTATCGATTCTTTGGATGATTTTTTTGGTAAAAACGCCTAATTTATGACCCATGGCGTCGTATGTATCTTTTCCTTCTGATTCCTACTGGTTTGAAACTCACTAATCGATTCCTTGCTTGATTCTATATGAGATCCACTATCAACCTTGCTTTTAGAATTTGTGGTAGAAAAATACCTCAATAGCCTTCTTCCAAGAGATCAAGAAGATTAAATTTCGAGGTAAATATTGTGATTTTGCTTGAGAGTATGATTTGTAAATCCTGTTATGCGTGTCGTGGCTTACCTTGAGCCACTTTGTTAATCAAATTTTTATTGAATTATTATATCTTTTCGTCTAAATCAAAATGGGAAATTAAACGTAACGGCTCCACATTCAAGAAAAATCGTGATAAATATTATATGATTTATTAATCATGTTTTTTTCGATCAAAATATTTTTGAGACTCTTCAGAGGTCAAAAGATAAAGTCTTAAAACAAAAATATTTCACATGTACCTCGAAAAATTTGATTGTTGAAGGTTTCTACAGAACAATCAAAAGATCTTGTAACAAAACTTACTTTTATCTGTTTTTTTTTAATTAATTGGGTGAAGAAATAATAGAGAAAAATACGAGATTAGGGAGACAAAGTTACCAAAGGAAAGACAAAGTTATCAGATTGGTTTAATTACAAGATAAAGGTCCAAATTGTACCGTTTCTTTCTAAACAAGTATCTAAATGGTTTTTCAAATCACTCAGGTGTCTAACGTTACAAAATTTATCACTTTAGATCCTCGGTCTAAACGGCCGTTAAAAACTCTGTTAAATGACAAATGTCATATTTATAGAAATTTAATTTTTTTATTTTTTAAATAAAAAATATTATTAAAAAATTTAAAAAAACGCTTCCCCCCTCTCGCTCCCCTGCTTTTCCATAGCCAAATGATCGGCTGCTACAACTGGCTAAACGTCCAATTACCACAATCGACCAGAGGGATTTAAGAGATTGTGTATTTGGGATATTTGGGATTAGGGATTAAAGTGTAGGGATTTGAGAATTTTGAGATGATAGCAAGGGTTATGGCTGATCAGTATATGGTCGTCAACGTATGGGTGGCCGTTTACCGATGGATGGGTGTTCGTAGATGATTAATGATAGGAGTAAAGTGGATTAGAATAAGAGATTTTAAGAATTTGTGGTTGTTTTTTAGATTTAAATTTTTTTAAAGTTTTTATAAAGTATTATTTTTATGTTTTTTAAATAAACTTTCAAACAAATATAAATGTGATACATGTCATTTAACGGATTTTCTAGCGGCCTTTATGGTCAGGACATTTAAAGTGATAATATTTATAAAGTTAGTCATCTGAATAATTCGGAAAAAATTTTGGGTATTTATTTAATAAAACGATATAGTTTGGACACTTATTTTATAATTAATTTCATCAAATTTGTAAACTGTTCTATTATATACTGTTAATTATTTAACAAAAATAAAATATTTTATAAATTTCGATAAATTTAAATTATTAATTTATATATTTAATAAATCAGATGATCTAACTAAAAGCATCCCATAACAAGGAGAGACTACTTGCTAAGTTCACCTTTATAAGTTTTTAGTTTTGGGATTTTAAATAAATAATTTAATTTGGTCTCGTGTTTACAAAATTGAGTGGTCAAGCCTAAACTACAGCAGACCAGCTTGTCCGTCAAACTTTTGGAACAGACAAGTCTTTCGTGTTTGTGATCCCAACATCTCTCCTTTTTTAACTTTTCATTATGATCCCAAAGTTTTGCTTTTACGAGTCATAATGTTTAAAAGTTTGACCATGTTTGTGATACAATGCTAATTCATTTGAGTTTTAGTCCACATTTCAGAGACTAAATCTCACATTTGAACATAATAAAATTATTTCAGATTAAGGGTCCAGGGACCAAATCTCACATTTGTGTATAATAAACGGACCAAAACAAAATTTAAGCTGACACTGCAACTTGAATTCTGTCCGAGAGTGAAAAGTTTCAGCTACATTATTATGAAAGCACAACAGAATTCCTTACAAACGTAGTTTTAAAACACATCAACATCAGTGTTTTTTTTAACACAAATACCTACAGATATTAGACATCCCTAAAGAGGAGCTAAACAAGTCCTTGTATCGTTCTATAAATTCTTCAATGATCCCGGATCACACATATACGCTCAAAGGGCCTCTTTTGTTTGGCTCTTCTAGTCCATTATCTGCAGTTTGAATCCCGGTAAGCCACGACCTGGAAAACCGTTACCGAGTTCGTAAGATCCGGTTGTTCAGGATCCAACAAGTTTAGAACATTGTTTTTAAAAGTTGGTGTTAGTTTAAAGCTCATTAATGGGGAAAAAAATGAAGAAACTGTGACTGACCTTCCAGCAGTTTCATTGCTTGAATTCATCCTTATTGTTATTTTTTTGGCTGTTTTCATAAATGCACTACAATATACCGAAGAGAAGGGAAGGTCGTGTAAATATAAACTCGAAGAAAGATCGGAAGAACGAAATGAAAGGTACGTGGAGAGTTTTTCGATTCGATACCTGAATGGTTCATCTCCGGTTTGTTTGACAGCACCTGTTGCATCTCGATACAGCACATGGCCCAAAATCTCTAATCTTTCTATTCCGAAAATGTTACCCAATCTCCTGTATAGCTCTTCGTAAGAGCCGAGAACCGAGAGGTCAAGAGTTTGTCCGACATCCTCCGAATCCAAGAATACCTTGCAATGGCCTACTTCAAGGCCGGTCTCCATGCTTCTATAATCCTGGTGCCACCAAAATCCAGCAGCAGATGACTTCTCGGGAGGCAACAATTGATTCTCAAGAGAAGACCGCAAACCATCGGAAGAATCTTTCATTTTTTCGGCATTGCCATCTAATGAACTCTTTCCATTAACAACTTGCGAGGCAGCTTCATCCGAACAGCTATGAGAGAGCTGCTGCTCGGTAAGTATTGGCTGACCAAAGAGTAAAAACTGGTGCCTTTTGGCATTACCAGATTTCTCCTTGGGATTGGAATTCCCCATTGTTAACAAGCAAGAGATATTTTCGTTACTATTACGGCACCTTGCCATCTCGATGCCATCAGAAATTCTAGAGTGCGGGTCGAATCGCTGGAAACTGGACAGAAACAGTCCGGACTGCAGTTTATTATTAAGATGGAGATCGGATAAAGATGAACCGAATTGAGCATGCCTGGCTCCCTGTATGCCTGCAGGAGCATTATCAGATAAAACTAACGGACTACCGGTCCCACGGGGATTGCAATAGCTTGAAAATGCCAACATCGGAAATTGTCCATCAAGGGGAAAGTCAAGGCGTTGGGGAAGCCTCGACTTCTTTCTCGGCGGTGAGAACGGCGACAAGTTGATGGCAGGCACACTCGATACCAATTCAACCAACCAGGGGCTCACACGCTTAACATTTTGCAGCAAATCCGGTTCATCCCATGTTACCTACAACCGTGATCAAGTCAGGCTACTGCCAAAACGAGAATCAACAATGAGGACCATTGCATCGCTTGATTAACTAGAACTGAAGTATTAAATCTCAAATTTAACATAGTTAGAGCATTACAAACTAATGGTGAAATAAAATAAGTAACCTGGAGAAGCCGCCACGGTGAATTAGGCCATCGAATGGGATCAGCAACTCGAACAGACGACACCGTCCCGATGAACCAACTAATCCTCGAAGAATCCTCCGTCTCGAAAGGCATCTTAAACCTCATACCGCTACACCAAGGAATCCTCATTGCCGCCTTCACCGAACACGCCTTGACGCAAAACTCCGGCGTGCTTGCTCTCGGGTAATAAACAATCTCAAAAGGCTGACCACTGCAGGCGAGCGTCACCGCCTCGGCGACGGCCTCCGCCCTCAGTTTTCCCTTCCCACCACAACCCGGATTCTCATTCCGGGTCAAAGCTGGAAACCCTCCATTAGGTCCTGCACGGTTTCCATTTTCGGGACGCTTCGCTCGCCTAATCCCGACGCGGAGTTCTCCGTTTTCCGACCTCAAAAACACGATCGAGTCCCCGGCGACGAGTTTTTTGTGGTTCACGAACGTGCTCCACCCGGTGGTCAAAAGATGTCTCCTTGGAGTCCCTCTATAAATATGCCTGAACTTCCACGTCTCGCCATGGACATCCATGGCTATCACGGTTTGAACAGGAGGGTCGGCTGTGTAATCCAACGGTGGGAAAATGGTTTCAGCGCAGTATCTCGGAACTGAGAAACCACCGCCATTGTTCGCATCGGATTGAGTTAATATCTTAGCGAAAGAAGCAGGCTTTTTCGCATTATCGGACCCGTTAGAGCCAACGCCCAAAACGGCACCGTCTTCGAGGTCGAACTCGGTGTCCGGCAATGGTACGAGGAGGATCCTAGCGTATGCTTCATCTGTTTCAGTATCCGCCATGAATTTGAGGGAAGCCACTCGACAAAGAACAAGGGCTGGGATGCGAGGAGATGACGGGAAATCAACGGCGGAGAGTGAGTGCTCGGCATGGCCTTGAGGAAAGTAGAAAACTTTGGAGTTCAACGGCGGAATTTGAACCATGGATCCAACACATGCATGCCATAGCTGTGGATCTAAGCTCTTCTCCGATTCCTTCATTTTCTTTGGTTATTGCTGTGAAAACAGGAGGGGGGACCCCAAGAATTAACTACAAATTTAAATTAGAGAAATCAAACGATAGCGGAAAAATAGCGAAAACCTTTCATTAAATTTCTTACCTTTTGTTAAAAACCAAACAAAAAGAACACCCCGGATATCGCTGCCTTATCTTCGTTTTCTCTCCCTTTCTCCCGTGTTGAAGAAGAAGACTGTCAAATGAGACAGAGAATAGTTTTCAAGTTAAGGGGGAAAACACATAGACAACCCCACTGATTTACACTAAAGAAACAAAAACAGTAGGGTAAAAAATGAAAGGTTTGAAATTTTTGGAACTGGGTTTTGGTTCAATTTAGAGAGAAAAATAATCAGTCTAGAGAACAGAACAAAAAGATCCCACATCAAACAAAAGAGTAACTACAATTTTGTTTTGAAAAATAAAAAAATGGTTTTATATTTTCTTTTTATTTTTAGTTAAAATATGATTATGACGTTAAAATCTCATGTGGCGATATAAATGGGAAGTAAAATATCGCGACAGAAATATGCAGTAAAGATGAAAAGCGGTATCCTGTTTTCTTCACTCTGAGACTACGAGCAGTTAAGCGCCGAGTTATACGGGCCGAAGGTCTATTTATTGTTTGTCTTCAACTCCATCCAATATTAACATTCCGGTAAAATAAATAATGTTTTAAATAATATTTTATAATAAATATTAAAAAAATAATAATATTTTTGATAATATATTTTTTTAATTATATATTAAACTGCCGTACTTAAGATTTTTCCCTTTCAATTATGATAAACTTCGAAATTTTTAAATAGTTTTTAATTATTTGGTTTATACTTCATATTTAAATTTGTTAATGTTTTTATTTGTCTGATATGATCATAACATAATATTTTTTTATTTTTTTAATAATTGAGAATATTCGTGTATATTTTATAAATGTAATTATTTAAACTAAAAAAATTTATAGATAAATAACACTTATTTTAACTACTGAACCACTTGATGAATTAAAAAAACCAAATAACCTTTCTAATGACACTAAGTAACAATCTTATCAATTTGAGTCCATGATAACAACGTAATTATAACGAGATCAAATTAGGTTAATAATTTCTAAAAATAATAATTAGAAGTTCTCGATTGATATCTCTCTTTTCTCATAAATTATTGTAGGTTTAAAATCGAACAAAATTTTTCTTCTCTTCCACTCGGTGGATTGTTAAGAAAAAAAATTGAAAATATTAAAAAATTTCATTTAATAATTAATTAAAAATTCATTTTCAACTAAACCTTCGTTGGAGAAGTGAAAAATTGTTATAAGTCTTGAATTGACCTCTATTTGAATTGGCAAAAGGATAACTTTTATCTTTGTAGTAGACTCAATTTATCATTTTTGTTTTCATTATATTTACGCATAAATTTAGATCTCTAAATTATTCAATTGCATCATTATATATCATATCCCTAACTTTAAACCCCAAACCATACCCAATAATCTCTAAACCATAAACTTTAAATCCTAACTTAAGGTTATAATTTAGGGTTTAAGTTAGGAGTAGAATATAGAATGATATATTAAACAACTTTAAGAGTTAAATTAATGCGAAAATACAATAATAATGAAAATGATAAATTGAATCTATTACAAGAGCAAAGGTGAACTTTAAGCCATTTAAATTATATCCATGGATAATGTAATATTTACTTCTAGATTTATTTTTTTAATATATAATTTAATTTTCAGTTGTTATGATATATTAGAGATTCACTTATCAAGTAAACTTTACGTACTTTCATAAATTTTCTATAATTTATTTTCATAGTGATTGGCGGATCCAGAAATATATTTTAGGATATGCATACTGAAGACACTAAATTTCGTCCATTGCTATTATAATATATATATATATATATATTATTTCATTTTATTTTACAAACTATACATTTATTTGGACCCAACAGATCATAACAGTTCACTATGCGAAACCCTAGCAAGCTCGAGCCCTAGCGCCGCATGCCCCAGCCAGCGCCACAACTCCTCTTCAACGAGGACTCTCCACCAGCGCAACAACTCTTGCCGTGCACGCCTCTCCAACAGTCCTCGAGTCCTTCGGCGCAAGAATCACAGCCATCATCATCAACATCAAGCAATCAAGTTAGATTAGGACTCAAATGTTTAGCAAATATAGGATATAAATACATGTAAATCAAATCATTTGTAACACATTCGGATTACACGAAATAAAAGCAGAAATTTCGAGCAAAATACGAGCAGTGATTCAAAGCATTTTTGCGACAATTAAAGAAGAAACATAAGGTAAAACGGCTCGCCTTTCATTATTTTGGTATGCATGTTATTTCTTGGATGTAGAACGCTAAAAGCCGATGATCGAAATAGGGGGTATTCGAAAACTTCTTTTTAGATCTACACCCTTAGGAGGCTTATTTTGAAAAACAAGGTTGTTTTTATGAAAGATAGGGTCGAGAGCTTTCGAAAAAAGCAATCTTTTTTGTATTTAGCCACCGATGAACGGCGGCCAGCGCCCATCAACGGCGGCCGGTGAGGTGGCCACCACCGATCAACGGCGGCCGACGAGGTGGCCACCACCGGATTCCTGGGTTCGTGCGGCGGCTGTTCTTCAAGATGAAGAACAGCCATGAACAAGATAGAGGATTCAGAGGATTTTGTTTTGATCTATTTTGAACCAAATAAAAATTATGAGAAGTGTTTTGATCTTTTAGGCATGTTTTTTGAATAAAATAAAGTAAACCACTCTTTTGGTCCATCTCTGTTTTTAAAGGTCGATTTTGACCCCCAATCAATTTACATCTTGATTTTTATTTCGAAATTTGGACACCTAATTTATTTTATTTTCGATTTAATCCTTTATATTTTGGTTTTAATTATTATTATTTCATTTATTACCTTATTTCATTTATAAGTGTATATATTTCCTTTATTACTCATATTATTTATTTTTTCCCTATTTTCTTTTATTCTCTATTTAATACATATATTTTTTACATATATATATATATATATATATATATATATATATATATATATATATATATATATATATATATATTAGAATGTATATATATATGTTTTGTTTTGTTTTGTTTTATACATTTTACTATTATATATATATATATTCTACACAAGTTAATTATATCTGCCTACTTTGTCCCCACCCCTCATCATTTTTTCTTCCTATCAATTATACTTCACCAAACCTTACTTTCTTTTCTTCCCTTTTCGGTGTGATTGTCTTTTTTTAACTACTTATTATCATTATTAGTATTGTTAATATATATATATATATTGTAATTATATTTATTTGTTTTTTTACCATTATATGTGTATATGTTCTTTTCGTCATTTAATTTAATAATTTATATTTATTTATTTATTTATTTATTTTATATATATATATATTATTCGTACTTTGTTATTATTATTTTGTTTATTTGTTTTATTTATTTTCTTTTTCTTTTTCTTTTTTATATATATTTTATTATTTGTTTTTTTTACTTACTATTTTATCTTTGCTTTCTTTATTTTATCATCTTACTTAATTTTTTTTCTTTTCATTTTAATTTAATTAATTAATTTCTTACCATTTTATCTAACATGGCTTTTTTACTTTCTTAAGGGTACATTTTCAATCAATCAAATTTAAGTTTTGGATCGTTATTTTACCTTTCAATTTAAACTTTCAACTTTCTTAATTAAAGACAACTGGAAATTACATAGTACCGAAAGGGCGGTTCAAGGGTGCTAATCTTTCCTTGACCGTAACCGACTCCCGGATCCGACATATCACTGGTAAGACGCAGATCAGGTAAGAAATAAGGTATCCGATCAACCCACTTTTTGTAAAGTAAATGATCGGTCGCGACTCCTAATCTATTTTTCACGTCGAAGCCTAATTCCGGGGCCCAGCCGAAAGACGGTTGCGACAGCTTGGCGACTCCGCTGGGGACTGGTAAGTGAGTCAGGCTAAGGTAATTTCCAGTTGTCTTTTTAATGAAAATGGAAAGTTTAAATTTTAAGGTGACATTTCGATCCTTGTTGCTTACTTTTGATTATATTTTTCAAGTAAATAGTTGCACTAACCGTTTTTTAATGATTTCAGCCCTAAAGATTTTCCATCTAAGGCTCTAAACCCGAGCTCCAAACCCGTTTTAAGTGGGGGTAAAAGCGACGCCTTCGTGTGAATTTATTCACCGTATGGGCCTAGCAAGTAGCCTTCGGGATTCATATACCTTATGCCTTTGTGTGAATTTATTCTCCGTATAGGCATAAGGGAATGTGTCCTCTCGAGTTTAATTTAGTCCACACAAGCCTGTGATGGGTTTAGGACTAAGGGTCTGGCAAGCCCACGGGGGCACCGAGAAGGAGAACTCAGGTACCGTTTTTTAGAACCTAAACTGGGAAGCTATGGAGAAATAGAGCCTACCCCGAAACCACATTTCAAACCCTAAGACATTTTTACCCTAACCATGTTTTTGTTCATTCTTACTATTCTTTTTCTTCTTCTTTCTTTTGTCATTTCATATTTACTTATATGTTTTCATTTTACTAACGTTTTTACCTTTGTGTTTGTTTTCTAGCATTTGCATCATAACAAGAGGTCATTGATCCCTAAAAAGCATTTATTACACACAAAATAATTTGAACAAATGGACAAAGGTGTTGTAATACAAGAGATTAAAAACCCGGAGGTACGACTATGGTCCGAGAAGACCCAGAAAGAAAAGGGAGACAGTCTTCAAGGAAGCTATGTGTCAGAGCTGGTTAATTATGCCTCTATCAGCCTAAAACAGAACAATGTTCAAGAGCTTCGAGATATCTGGGACAGTTGGAAGAATGATCGAAAACAAAAGTTCAGCCAACGGTACGGTGACATTGCACTTCTACTCCAGGTTAAGACTGATGAGCCTTTAATCAGAGCCTTGGTTCAGTTCTGGAACTCGGGATATAGTTGTTTCACTTTTAACCGGGAGGACATGGTACCCACCATTGAAGAATACACTACACTGTTGCATTGTGAAAACATCAAACTAGAGAGAGCCTACGTTAAACACATTAAAAGTCATCCTTTTAAGAATACACTGGCCAGAGTTGCGGAGTAGACGAAAAATGGGTAATTGACCGGACTCAGCGCAGAGGCAGTGGGGAAGGAATTGAATGGATCCACATAAGGCAATTAATGAAGAACTACCCTGATGAGTGGAAGACTATAGACCTTTTTGCACTACGTCTGTACGGGTTGATTATCTTTCCGAAGGCATTGGGTTGAATTGACGCAGCCGTGGTAGAATTGT